TGGTAACATCTCGAGAGTAGGCATGAAATGATTTCCCACAGCAATCATGCACGTGGGAATACGGTGTCCACGCGAATACAGGAAGCGAATACTTACAACGAATCTGGGTCGTAACCTATTTACCACTATTAATCGCCTTTTCCTTTCTTATTTTGTAGACATATTTCATCATTTAGCGCAGACTAAGTTGCTAAAACTTACGGACGTCGTAACACATTGATGCTCATTTCGGTACCAGAAGTTGCAATGTACATTTTTCCAGGCGAAACGCAATATTCTGTGATATTGATGCTTGAAATAATGACAAACATTTTCATTAAGCCTTTAGACTTAATGAAATCATTGATTTTACGAAGTGATCTCTCTGCTTATAGCATGAATAGGAATTTAATCTGTAAGTGTATAAAATATTATAAACTTTACAGAGCTAATGAACCGTAGATTCCATAAAATACAATTTAGATGCAGATTTTAATTTAAGTGGTGATCTAAATTCCGTCCGGGCAGTTCTTTGTTTGAATTTTTTACACCTACAGAATGGAGCGAGAAAATTTATATTGGTTATCTTAAACATAATTCAAATCCCAAGAGTTCATTATGTTATTAATCTTGTCAGTTGCAAGACTTGTTGCAACATTGCAAAACGTGTTCCAGTATTGGACTCTGGAAATCCCGGAGTTAACACCACCTGCAGTGGCATAGTAGTTTACGGGTCTCCCCCATATTGTGCAACATATCACAAACGGTATTTCCTCGTGCAGTTTCATTACGTGCAGATTGGCCTCAATATTGTATGCACTTTATTCTTAGATCGTAAACGTGTGCACTTCATGATACAATTTCTAATTCAGTTTCAACGATAGATTTTTTTCGTTTTGCGTTGTGAGAGTGCCATGGTCGTAATCTTGACCAGACGAGTATGCTAAAGATATAGTACTCGCCGTGAGAATCGTCTTTATTAACGAAGGCAAAGCGATTTTTTTTTTAATTCAGAAAGAAATTGTTTGTACATTTCACTTAATTTTTTACATATCTTTTATTCATGAATAAATTATCAAACGTTTATGTTAACTCATGTATTTTTTATTGTTAATGAAAATAACTTGACAATCAGTCTAAATACATTAATTATGTTCAATTTTTCCTGGTTGTTGAAAGCAAATTTTACTACTTCGATGAATGCTTAACATTATGATGAGTACTAGAGAGGATCAGAGATGAAGGGAAGAATACAGTGAAATAATTATATTTATTACACATTTAATTATCTATTTTTATTGATGATTAATACTCGTATGTGTTACAATGCCCAAAACAATCGTAGTATTCCTCATTATGAAGAAAGAGATAGACGGATAGGAAGAATCGCTTCGTGGTTGGAAACAGGGAATTTATGAATACTTGCAATGCCGAAGTGTTAAGCTGGTTTGCAGAAGACCGAGAAGAGTTCATTAAATCGACTTACTAGGTTCGGGTACCAGTAAAACGACCATACACAATGCAAAAGCGATCCAGTGGGCGAGATCGCTAAGGCAGTAGCGCCGTAGCGATCTCGGGCCGAAGGATCACAAGTTTGAGTCCCGCCACAGGCATGGTTTATTTTGTGTTCGTCCTTTCAAACCCCATCATCTCCGAATCATTTCATCTAGTTCACGGTTACTCATAACGTTACAATCGATAGTAGTGGCTAATGACCTAGATGTTGATGCGACCTTATACAACAAAAAATGAAAAAACAATGTAAAAGAACTCGTGAAGTGGTGCTCTCGTATTCGTTAGTTTCCTATTCGTTAGTCTGAGATAGCTTTTCGGATTTTTCACACCCTCTTCCATGCTGCTAAATAGAAAAATGTACATTTTTGCAATGTTCAAAAACTCAGAGATTTTAACGAAAGTGAGATTTATGACACTTTTAAAGAGTTATTTATGTTACCTGGAGGTGAAGATTAACACAAATATTGGATACATTTTTGAGAAAATGTTGAAAACGTTAAAAGATTTATGTAATGTACCCTCCAAAATCGAAATGTCCATTTCCAGTTCAAGGAGCAGCAACATCAATCAGATCAATCCGGGAATATCAATTTTGGAGAAAATTGTCTCAACTGTTTAGGTGCTAGTGTTGACCACAGATCTATAGATAACGTTTTGCCGTCAATCGATTATTTGGTATGTCGGCCCCCTATATCATTAATTATGACTACACAACGTTTAGAGGATTTTTTTCTCAATTTAGCAATTGGATTTATCCTCTTTTTCGTTAACAGGGGCCAACAATGTGATATTTTGGCGAAAGATCGCCAATTTCCGGTGCACGATTTCAGTCCTTTTTCTTCTTACGAAGGCAAGGAAGTGAAAATCACCTTTTCGGTATCAGGGGATCTCAAAATGTGTTTTTCCGTTGAAATTTCGAAATCAATTTTGGGCAGCATTACATAACGTTTTCTGTATTACTTATAGTATACGTACGTAAACAAGAAAGTAATATTTGCTCTTAGCGTACACTGTAAGACGTAAAAGACAGACGATGAGTTTTATTTACCCGGGCAAGTCAAACAACCTTCATTTTGATAGTAATTACACGCATAAAAAACGCATCGAATTAATTGATCTATGCTCAATCCAGAACAGTTGAGCTAATGGCTGTCATTCAGCGGCGACCTTGATCCACTCTGATGTTACCATATGATCACCTGGAGACCTCCTTTCTGCGTCACTACCGCTTCAAAACACTAATAATTACAGTATTTTATTTTCAGTTAATATTCAGACCCTTTTTTAACTACAGACAATTTGATTGCGCAGAATGATTTACGAAAAAACTAGGTTTATTTTCATAGCATTATACGTTTTAACCTTAGCGTAATTGTAACATATTCCTTTTAGTTCTTTGTAATTCAGAGTAATTCTCGCAATTGAGAAAACTAACATATCTGTAAAATGCTCGAATAGCATATACCCACTAATGATCAATAGACGAGTCGCACTCTTAATTTGTTTCGCGAATTAAAAATCTGATCCGTATTTGAAACGCTAGAGAATTAGAATTTCGAAGACAAGTTGTCTTAATTCAAATTAAATTTTGCATTTCGTTTAATCTCTGTGAAAAGTGTAGCATTGCAAACTATTGTCATTATTAAAGTGTCCTTCAACGTTTGCGTACTAACGGTTATGGTGGTATCGTTGTTACAAAACGTTGCAGGAGAGCATGGAGTCAGCGATTGTTTTGAGAAAGAATTCAGTTTAGCCAGAGAAACAATTTTTTTAATAGTGTCTTCTAAACTCGCATTCGACGATTCCTTCACATGATTTCATCTAGTAAGTTCTTTTTAAGATATTTAGCTTTAATATTTTTATCTTCGTATGTGGTAATAGTCTCGCTTTACCTGAATATCTTTCGACTGCCTTCTGTAGGTTCCTGGGGTCACGTACCTAATAGTGTTGCCCAAAAAGGTCGCGGGCTCATCTCCGAGCTTGGAGGTTTTCATGGGATTAGGAAACTAGTTCTTCAAAGCGCATAAAATCTTTACTACGCACTTCACTACTTTGCGTTGCACATTAGTTAGCGATAAGATCAAACGGTTAGAAAAGGGTCATAGTTTAGATGTGATTATCATGAGCGACTTTGAGTGCGCTCATGCCACAAATGAAATCATCCTTAACCCACAGCCTTAATGTCCGCATACTTGGGTGTACCTGCTGCCTGCCAGGGCAACCAGGCCGGCGTAGTTCATTTCTAATCGATGGTAGCCTCAATATTACTGTTTTGGGTGAAATGAGAAGATTAGAGGAGACGGAGCAAATTTGGACTCGTTCCCAAGGCGTAGCGGGAGCGAACGCGGTGTCGGGAGCGCCGGGTCGGGGTCGACGTATCTCTGGCGGGGCCAGCGCATGCGGCCAAGGGCGCGGGTGGGCTCAGCGCCCTCGATACGCGCCTCCCGGGCGCCTTTCACTCGGCGGCCGTCGACCTACGTGCCAACACCTCTTGACTTTACACTCTTCCTTCACACTCTCCACCAGGGCCTTCTAACTCCCATATAACGTGGTGGAAACCATTACATTGGCGCGCTCTCCTGCAGCACCTTCGTACAGGAACTAAAATACGAACCGTTGAAAACGATACGTGACTGTTGCGGGGGTTCGCGAGTCGCAGGCAGACCTGTGATGTTACAAAAATTAGCGTCCATGTTCACGCTTTCATCCGAGGTTTCTTATATGTATGTATTATCAATAATTGAACATTTAGAAGACACTTTTCGTATTTCTCATAAATTAGCCGATTCGTATGGCGAGCCTAACCTGCAGGTACTAGCTCTAGCGACTCCAATCGTAGCACCCTCCAACTTTGTCCCCGGTTTCGGTGGCGAGTTGTAAGGCCCTGCTCTCCACCTCTCCGTCACCGCTGCGGCGGGGCTGGCCGCGAGCTCCTCAGGCGGCAGACACGGTGCAGACGAACTATTGGTCCCTCGCTAAAGGACGACTGCGAGCGAAATCGTCGGCGAGCGGCTTATTTCATTCGGAAAACAGCCGAACGGTGCACCCGAAATCGGTCAAATATTGCTATAATTCCAGAGCTTATTTGAAATATTTCCCAGAAGCACGCTCAACATTTTCTACACATGAAGACGGTCTTGGTATTAAAGATGGCCGTGATTCACCTTCTGATTTCCAGCTAATAGAGCCGACAAAATCAAATGAAACAAATCTTTGACCGACAACCGACGTTTTCGGACGCTGTCGGAAAAGTTTCAGTTTACATAAATTAATTGATGGCGAGTCTTTGCAAAACGTGAATTCGAAAGACATTACACGATTAATTTGGAGGTAGTTAAAAAGCTCACGCACCGACTTTTAATGACGGGACCCTCCTCCTCACCGCCCCATTGTCCTTTACGTGAAATCGTCAGTGCACAAGTGTCACATCGAAAACATTGTCATTTATGTGGAGGAAAGTGTTAACTTTTCGGAGCTGTTTAATTCCCTGTCAACAACAAAATGTATTATCTTCTCTTGCAATGACTGTCAAATAAATAGATAATTAATTTATTCAAATACAAATTAGAACAAAAATAAAATTTATAATATACAGTACCTGATGATGGGGAAAAGGCAGGTTACTGAAATGTTGTGTAATAAAGAAAATATTTTATGAGCTTTTCCCATTTCTTACAAAACATTTGACTGTCTAAAATATATACAAGATGATTCAATTTTTGTTTCTCAAACAAGACCCGGTGATAAAGTACACTAATTTAATCACGAGTGCGAAAGGAAATAGTGTAAACCCTATTTAAAAGTTTCAAAGAAAGGGTCTTTTTTCATGAGTCATTTGCAAGAAAGAGAGCTCAAATATTACATTCAATATTATTAACTGTTGCTATTATTGCGTACTAATGTAAAGAATAAGAAAGAAGAGAGAAAAACTTTTATTTGAGTGTAATCTAGGATATTTTATTATATTTATATATACAGTAAAAAATTCGCACTTTCATCTCGTGTAACAGGGGCTCTACAAGTGTTGAAAATGGCTTTCTTCTGCGTGAACGCAAGATGGGCATCTATGCCCCACGGCCTCCGAGACGCGCACAACTTTGCAAGGTTATACTACCTTTATTTCAGCCTCCCGACTTTCAATATTCATAGTCCAATGTTTAATGTTAAGTATTTATAAAACTAAACTACGAAGAATATCCAAATTTGGCAGAATCATTCTGTATATTACATATGGGATAAGGTCTCGGCGTATTAGTAACGAGGTCTGAATCACCCTGTAGAGGACCATATTTGCATATTTATAAAATGTTTTACTCTTTATACGGGAAGTATTGCAATCTACACACTAATGAATTTTGAAGGAGTAAACATAGACAATTTTCTAATAATTTATCTTCACTTATCTAAAGAATGACAATTTCTGAGAAGCACCACATTTCTTGTGCTCCGCTTACACATCGCAAGTGAATGCACCCGCCAGCCGCTCCGCGCTGCACGGCGTAACGGTGACATCGCCTGCTCGATCGAAGGCCGCGCCCCGCGCTGCTGCAACAGGCCGAGGCGGCCGCCTCCCACGCCGCGCCGCAGGGCCCGCAGCGCACGAGGAGGCCACGCGGCAAGCGCGATTCGCTGCATTTCACGCTACAATCGTACGTCTTTTTCATGCCACTAATGACACTTTCCACGCATAGTTCATAAAGAAGTGCGTTGTTAACTAAACAAATAAGACGAAAAATACTTATTCAGTGATTCAGACTCCAGTAAATCAGGTAGCAATCTAATATCACTGCCTACTGGAATTATTTAATGTAAGACAATGTAATATCGTAGGTCTTTTTCATACCTCGAAAGACACTTTCCCCGCATAATTCACAAAGAAATGCGTTATTAACTAAACAAATAAGACGAAAAATACTTATTCAGTGATTCAGATTCCAGTAAATCATGTAGCAATCTAATATCACTGCCTACTGGAATTATTTAACGTAAGACAATGTAATATATACAACGAAAATTAATTCTTCAATATTTCGTTTTATTTTTCAGTTTTAATGCAAATCTATTCTAGAATTTCCAGAAACAAATTATATAATATATTTAATGCACTATATAACGAACGAGTATTAACATTTTAGGAAGTTATGTTTTTCTTGGTCTTCAGTCACTTTCGAAGCGAGTATGACATTGAGCCCGTAAAAAAAAAAGGTTGTTCCATCGAGAGAGACATGAAAAATAATCCGTCAGTGAATTAGTGAGTGTCACATTTGTCTTCGGGCGTAACGACACCCGCGAGACCGACGAATGTAGAAATGAAAGTCGCGTACTAAACTCCTTGCACCGGCCTCGTCAGCTCGCGCGTCGCCTCGCGTCGCCTCGCGTCTCGTGATCGATGGCGCCTCGATCGAGCGCCGTAATCCTCCTATCACGGAACGGAGCTTAGGCGCCCGTCCGCCTGCGCCTGAAGGCGGAGCGCCTTTGTTTATTAAAAGTTGAAGAGCACGCGTCGCCAACTTGGCAGGGCCGGATTGAAGTAGTGTGGGGCCCCATGCACAAAATTGTGTTGCCTCCCCCTTCCCGCGAAAACATAGCTCCACCTTTATTAAATAAAAAATGTATTATAGTACTATTACAATGCGATATGCATAAACAAATACATATTCAGTTATAAGTAAAAGAAATAAAGTATAGTTAATATTAGACTAATTTAACATGTAATAAATTTTTTTAAAAAATGTTTTGAAATTGTACATTTTGTTACACAGTAGACTACTTGATTAACAATTATTTCACAGACAAAAAAAATATGGTATGCGTATTTTTTCGAAACGCGGGGCCCCTGGTGAATGGGGCAAGTAACTGCTTGTTTTGCTTGTAGGTAAATCCGGCCCTGCAACTTGGGCTAGAGCCGTACGGCCCGCCCAAAGCACGGGATGAAGATGGGGCTGCTCGGGAGGGAGGGGAAGGGCGGACGTTCTCAGGTGATCATTAACTACGCAGAGTCGAAGATGGAAAGTGGAAGGGCAGATCCCCTGTGTTTGCTTGTTGTTGTTTTTTGTAATTAGTGTTCCCAGCTGCAGGAGGGTACGTTGTTTTTAACTTGGTTAATTGTTTTTCGTTCCGCCATGGCCGATCGTAGGCTTAGTTTTCTTAACTTCTAATTATTTGAATTTTATGTGCCCGAATCGTGGAATCGTGGGCTACACCAGCTCATATTACTTTCGCGGGATGTCATAAATCGGTGATGTCAACCCAGTTGTCACCAGAGAGACACACGGAAGATATAATAAAATCTCCCCTTAATTCAATTGACACCTTGACACAAGAGAGCAATAGGGAAAGAAATGAAAAAAGAATAGGCTCAGAAATGAGATAAGATTAGGTTTGAATTAGAAAAAATCAATTAAAGCACGTTTATTGTTATGTTTAGTGGCAGATTTATTTCTGTGTTCTCTTTTTTTAAATGTTAATTACAAATTTAAAATATTTAAATATTGATCAATACGGGAACCCAAGATAATGTTCGTTATTCGCTCTATTATGATTATTTTCTGTCTCTGGGCGTGTCAACTACATTCTATGGTCTCGGTATGGTTAGTCTCGTAGATGTATGTTATACTAGTTGAATGTGGCGACGACGACTCTGTAAATTAATTTAAAAGTTTTACTAGTTTATAAGTTATTATAGTTGCTGGTTACTTCTATACGGGATATGAAATGGGAATATTGCAATTTCTAAATTGTAAACGCCGTAAAAAATTCTTACAGATATGGATGGTGTGAATAGTCACGATTTTGTACGGATATTTTTTGTACGCTTTTTTACTAATATGCACAAAAATTAACTTAAAATTTAATCACATTAAAGCTGTTCTTCAGCGTTAATCTTATTATAAGATCTTTACAAAACTTCTGTCACAAAAGCTTTTATAATTACATTTGATTCGTCCTCCGTATTTGTGCGCCTAAGAACGTAAATGTGCGAACTCCAATACGCATGTTATTTCTTTCTTTAACATTATTCAGAGTTAAATAACTCTTCATAAATTTAACATCCACAAGTGACAACCCTTCAATACATTGCCATAGAGATGCATAAAAACAGGCGCGGATCCATAGGGAGGGAAATTTTTCCTCCCCAAATGTTCCAGTAACTATTTATTTTCACAAAACTTTGAAGCAAAAATATTTTCGTACAAACATTAAAACGAATAAAATTGCATCGCAATCTGAGCTGAGTTTAGCCTAAGTCATTCTACATGTTTTGTAAGATGATACATTTGACCAAAACATTTTAAATTAAAAAAATTCCCCTCCCAAAATTTGTCGTTGGATCCGGGCCTGATAAAAATAAGTTCACAAATCTATTGCCTTTTATCAATTAAGTGCAATATCTGGAACGTAATAGAAACATTTTTACGAAGATAATTAGTTTAAAGTAAATATCACTATCACAAATTCAGCAAAATTCGTTCTGAAGAGCTGAACGGCTAGGACTCTTTTTTAAAATCAATATTCTCAACCTGTACACGGCGACGTTCTTTATTGCGCTAGTGTTCTCAGATTTTCAAACTGCCGCGTCACGGGGGCGATACCATTGTCAAATTGTAACACCATATCTAGCGAGACTCTCTTCAGCAAAAGAAAGGCAGGGAATTCAAATTGGAATAGTTTCTGAAAACTACTTCAAATAATTGTTCATGACCTTACTTAAAAGTATAATTTTGAAGAAAAGATTTCATTAAGTAAAAAATCTCTATAATCAATAATGTAATTTGGCAATGCTAAATTGTTGCAGTTTTAGAAATTATCGACCGACAGACAAGCCGACGGGCAGACAGCTACAGTCAATAACGTTGTGGCTTCTGCCACAGCCACTTGTGCTGAGGACTCACAAAACTTTGTTTCTGAGGAAATATGTTGGTGGAAGTAATTTACTGCGCAGAAAAATAAGATTTATCTGTTTTTTGGAATTGCGGCCCCTATAAACGAGCTTTTATATCGAAAAACTTCAATACGAGGTTTTTGCCTCAGCATTACATCACATTCTCTATACTGCCAAGTAGTGTGCAAGAAAGTAAAAAATACGTCAACAAAATTTTCTCAAAAACGGATCTTATGGAGTAAGTAGAGCTTGCTCAGTAGATGATTGTGCCTCAACTATAATGCAACAATATGGCTTTGTACCACGCCCAGTCTAGATTATGCTTTATTCAATGCGTGCCAGTAGTATGTTTAGTGATGCTTGCCAATCTCGTACTATTTTCGAATTTTATTTAGTAAATCTTCTTGATAATACTCTGTTTTTACATAAATAGCATTCGCATTGCGTAGATCTAGCCTACTCCATTTCTAAGAGTTTCTGTACATTGAAATACCAAGAATTCTTATTATTGATTAGTAGCTATGAAAAAAGATTCCACCTATGGGTATGTGTCAAAAAATATTTACGTTCCTCTATTTCTGGAGAAGAAAACAGCCCTTTACTATGCACATTCGTATATTCAGTTACATTGTCAGTCTTATCATCAGTTAGAAGAAGATTATTCTAATTAGCACTTTTAATGCTCTTAATATTTTGTCTTTTGTAAATTGTATGCACATCTTCAAATTAAAACGTAAAATATATATTTCAGTTTATTCTAATTTTTGTAATAGTTTTTTATAAGTTTTGTGGTATATCTTTTTGTATCATCTATGTGCATAAAAATGTAAAATTATATTTCTATATTTCTGCATGCACAGTGAACAGAAATTACATTACATTAATATGATGAAAAGTATGACTGTTAAATGTAAAGGTAATTACCGATTTTTATTTGAAAATTCACAAGTAATAATAAAATAAATTTACCTTTTCAAAACGTGTTATCTGTGCTTAACTCATGTTTCACTATTGAATGCATCATTAGCCAGTATTCAATATTTTCTAATGACATTATGAATAATCGTTATGACCATTACCTTTAAAATTCCAACATTATCGAATAGCGGGATTTTAATTTACCTTTGTCAGAATAATGTTTCCTGCTGCTAATATGTGATAATCCCAGGAAAATAATGATTCTCAAAAGAAGTTGATCTGTAAACATAAAAACAATTTGTTGCTAAAGTTTTACCCACTCCTATTGAGTTGCTTGTAATTCTTTCTAGTTTATCTTATTTTCAACTAATGCAGGACTCACATTTAGCCAGGAACGCATAAAGCAGATATTGTAGGAATTAAGAAGTTTAAGGGTAAAAACGTCATAAAATATTATTTTAATTACCCAACACAATTTGTCACGCCACTGGTATGCTATTTCTTTCGATTGATAACCAACTCCAACAATCAAAACATTTGAAGTATTCTCCAAAAATGGGAGGAAATGATTCTTCTCCAATAAAATACTATAATGTATTTCTGAATAAAGAGGTAAACATGTGACAATAAAGAAGATATTGTTGAAACACTGTACGATTAACTTGTTAGTTTCAATAATAATACTGAAATTCCATCTAAAACTTTTGTCGGCGTGTGAAAATGGCGTAAAGAAATGATCGTGCCTTTCCAAATATCCAGTCAGTAATGTGCATGTGCATGCTCTCTATTTGTCATGATGGCGAAGTGAATTCACACAAATATACAGCAACATTCAAGTTTAAGCGAAAAAGGTAAGATAATTTACTAAGTAATATATTAAAAAAATAATTACTTGCTCACTTTTACTGTTGGTGTTGGTAGCGCTGCTGCCTGTTTACGTCAGGTACCGCTTTCTATATCTCCACATCCCATTCATGCCTGAATGCTGAGTAAGATGTTATGGTTTGTAATAAACTACGGAAGGAACAAATAACGTTATTAATAATCATTATACATAAATTAATATTCATTGTTCGGAAGAGAACAAATTAACACTAGTAATATTCTGCAATGATATGTATTTATAAATTACGGACACGTGCTTTCAAAACAATAGTACCAAATTAACGAAATAACGTGATTTCCTTACATTATTGAATCCTAACCTATATACAGGCATGCGTGAATTACGAGGATCTAGAAGGCGATGAAATGATGCAAATTAATTATCATTCTACCGGCAAATTTAAAAGCTGAAAAGTAATATGGTATTATATCCGCACGTTTTCTTGAGCCCCGGAACCCCACTCTTTTCCCAACATTAGTTGAATTAAGAATAAATGATAGCAACGAGCGTTGTAGACAATATCTGGTAACAAGATATGTTCGGTCCCGTGTATTAGACACTTCCATGGAAAAATGAACTACAAATTTGACGTCAAATTCCTTTTGTCAAAATAACTCCCCACTCCTTTCGCATCTAGCGAAGCGAGGGCTCAAGAACACGTGCGCCGATAATACATCAGGTAGTACTGTATGTAATTAGACGTAATTTATGTGAAATGTTAACGCATTTACATAGAGGAGAAATTGCTACACTTGCGCTGTTTAGTAAATGGCATCTTTAGTCAATCGTGAGTGGTACTTTAAATGTACAAAATTATTTTGTTGGGAATGGTCTTGATCAATTCAAAGATTTTCTGTTTTAAATAATTTTTATTTCCATGTGTCATTTACGTTTCGTCAAACATTTTGAAAAAGAATTGTGTGATTTCTATTTCTATTGTGCAGGAAGATTGGGGAGTGTCAGAAACAGTATAGGGCTATTCTAGGTTTCTTTATACTACGCGTGTACGTATATTTTTATTCTAAAAAGGTGTGATTTTATTTTCTCACACTTACTAGCGTAAGAAGAGAAAGTATTGTAATCGTGCACCGGAAAACTGGGCATTTCCCACACACATTCTTATTGCCGGACTCTTGTAAGGAAAATATGGATAAATTCAGTTGCTTAATATAGAAAAAAAAACCTCGAACTCGTGGTGTAACCAGAATCCATGTTTTGTGCGTCCTTCACAGAGGTCGGATATTTTAAAAAGTTTGTAAATAAAGCGCTCGAAATTTTTTGGTTAAATTGTGTTGTTGAAAATTGCGAAGAGCGTTTAAGTGAGTGGTGCAGATCTCATTTTCGTTGATATCTTCTATTTTTATAAAATTGCAAAAATATTATTTTTAACTGAAAAAATTGATGATAGAAATTTTTACCTCAAGCAAAGTATGTTGTAAAAAAGTACTTCTTTATAATGGTAAGGTATCTTCCACCAGCGGGGCACCTTCCCAGCCCGGATAAACTCTAAGCTCCCGCCTAGTTTTCGGCCTATTTAGTAGTGTAGTGCATGTAAGTGTAAGTGGGTTTAGCTTAAGAGTGAGGATAGTTCACAGAAGAGGAAAGAAAGATCGCGCACGGTCCTAGCGCCTTTGTACACCGGCTTCGGCATTCGTCTGGTTTTCATTGGAGAATCCACGGAAAACAGGCAATTTCGAAACTGATTTGAAAGTCCGTGCACCGTATTATTTTTCGTGATTTAGCAAATCCTTCTGAGGATGACTTCCAATTTCCAACATTTCTTCTTCTTGCCACCTGAGAAAATCTTAAAATAGTGGGCACAAATTATTTCCCAATAGACTATTCAAAAGCGGCATTGAGGCAATTCTTACTTCTGTGAGTACCGTTCAAATGACATTCCTCTTGGAATCCTCTCTCAGGGTTTGTTTTTCTCTGGGTGGCAGTTCGCCAAGAGCGGGATACAAGAGAATCTTACCCGCTGTGCTATTTGGCGGGCCTTATTTATTTGCGGGTTCTCCAACTTCGCTCCAGTAATGGTTTCAACTCCATTAATTGGCTTCTGTTGACGAGGGCTTTGTGAATACGACGAGTACTTTTTACCACCTTTCTGTGTTGAAATTAATGAAAATGCATTCCAACATTTTTATTCTTAAAAAAATATGAATTAATGTTTCCTTGTAAACGTTCAGATTTTACTGTCGAGACCCAAAGACAAAACTTTCAATCAATTGTTTGTTATTATAAATATACATTGTGTGTTTTGGAGACCAGTTAACCTTCGCCTCCAAAGCATTATTCTTTCACTATTTTCTAAAGTATTTTAATTTCGTTGTAGGATCGGTGGAATTTTATCAAAATATACATGTCGAAGAATTTTATGAGCACACGGCGTACGGAACTCGCGTTGAGAAGACAATAGAGAAAATATGACAGTAATCAATATTGCACTTTGCAAAAAGACAATGGTAGTCTTGCTAGGTAGAGACAATGGTAGCCTTGCTAAATACCCCTCGAACTTTCTTGAGGAAGGTCCGCGAAAGGACAACATTCTCCAATTTGTAGAATGTGCACCGTTTGTAAACAATTCCTGAAATGGCCATTTCAATCATTGATCTCGCACCAATCGTCAAAGAAACTATCGTCCTCGTCGAATTATGCCGAAAGGACGATTGGTCCGAAAAATACCGCAGAACAGAGGACATTCGGATGATATTTGTTGATGGCATCTGGCAAAAGAATGTGGCAAATCCAAATATCTTGCCGTGACCAAAGGAAATATAAAATTAAGAGAAAGTCTGTGCCATTCCGTAGCATCATTAGTTTTCATTGCCAGGAAGTCCATACGAGGAATATTGTCCTGAGCCCGTTCCTTTGCACAACAGTTCAACCTTTATTCAATAACACACATTTTCAATTTCTTATTTTATGACTGTCTTATTAATATTAAAATTAAATGAGCCTTAAATTATCGTATATCTATTTTTCAGACAGTAGTTAGTATTGAGTAAATACTGGAATCCTGATAATAACTAAAATTTGTATTTAATTTAAAATTTGTATTTAAATGAAAAACGTGTTATATTTAAAATTTACAAAAATAGTAATTGTCTGGATTCAATTATCTAACCAGTTTGTCTGTAAAAACATTTAGTACGATATTCAAAGTATCAATCTTTCCTGGTATCGTAGTACATTAAAAATGACAACTTACTATTATATTTCATTGTAGACGTCTCTATCGTTATTACTGTATTTCATCAGTTTCTCCGGGTTCTTAGTAAGCCAGTAAAAGTTGAAAGGCTCAAGTCCTAGTGGAGCAGCGCGGCCGATAAGCGCGCGGCAGGCGTGTCACGTGGCTCTCGCGTTGAGGTCTTGGGGAATCCCCGACGCCTTCGCTTCCTCGCCGACCGCGGGGCTTTCTTCGCCGGGGGTTCACGCTTTCACAGGCGCTCTGACGTCGCCATACCGGGAACTCTGTTGCTTCGCTGGGTACTTATAGGAACCTGAAGTCACCTCGCTTTTCCTCGTTCAGTACACTCGTAACAAAGTGAAAACAAAAGGGTTGTAATTCGTGTTTTTGTTTAGACTATCTAGGATTATTCTTTGAATAATATTTTGTTTGTCTTTTGGCAAATGAATGAATACGATCTATCCCTGGAACGATCAACACCTGGATCAAAAACATCTATTTTTGACTAATAACCTCTTTATTTTGTATTACGTTTTTGACATGTATTGTATTAGTTATAAAATATTTCTTGTAAATGCAAGTACGTGTATTATAAATGTTCTATAGTGTAACTATGTTCTATAGCTAAAACATACTGATTTTTACCTTTATTTCATTTCAAAAAAATGTAATTAATATGTTTTCATGTAATAGAACATAAACACAGGCAATTTAACGTGGGCAGTACAGTACTCATTGGCTTTCTTTAATGGGAATACCTAATAGGAAGAAAATCAAGAGAAGACTCTTTATCATGAATGTGTAATTTGATGACGAGCCAAAGGAGAGGGGATACGTTAATTGGTGGTCAAGATCCGTTACAATGCCCCGCACTCGCTGTAAGGATGAGAAGGCTGCCTCTTGCATTCCAACGCCCAATTAACTGTTGTAGTTTGTTTGGTGGATTTTTGCATCAAAATTTCTTGAAAAAAACAATCGCATTGAAATTTAAGTTACCTTTTTTTTCAATTAAAAACGTTGTTACTGACGTATTTGAAAGAAAACAGTAAATCCAGAGTGAAAATTATGTTTTATTGCGAATGAGATACAAGTAAGTAGGAAAATTAAATGTGTGAGTGTATACTTCAGCTGATATACTTCCAATTTGTACGAAGGTTAAAGAGAGAATCAAGGTGATTAAGAGCAGTAAATGAGGTATCGCATTATTACTTCCTTTCGGTGCAATTTAATCGCACGGAACCAACTACTTCTGTTTGATAACAAGCACTTAGAAATACACGTAATGCTACATGTAACACAGACCAAGGCGTGACCGCACAATGACGGAAATTGTGCATTGTGGTTTGAGCTAGTAATTACGTGTATTTTCTTTCTTTGTTGTGGAAGGTCCTTTCGTTTCGTCCGACCGCCTCTCGACGGCCATCTGCAGGCAATTTGAGCGACCTAGTGACAGGGCTTCCGCAGTTCTCTACTTCTTCCTGGATCGATCTACCCAGTAGAGACCACACATCCCTGATTCAAAGGATGTAGAGGAAACCTTTGGGCCTGTCACTGTGTTTTTATATATTTAGGGATTAGAGAGTCAGCTATATCCAGCTCTTCAGCGCGCACAAAATCTTATTATTGCGCAGTGATTACCAGCAAGACCAAGGAATAGGAAAGGATTAAAGTTTAGAAGTGACACAAGTGGGCCTCGGTATGCCCCATGCCACGAATACAAATCAAAAGATCCGTGCCTTACTCGGGCCTCGACCGACCAGCCCTGATGTCTGAGGACTTGTCCCACGCCCAGTGAACCGGCTTAGTTATTATATTACATGTGAATAAATCGCCGATAAATTGAGTAGTCTTCCTCTCGATTATAATTGATTACTAGGGATTCCTGGCGCGTCAAGTGCTAAGGTCATTAGTTCTGTAAGTGTAGTGCATGTTTTTGCTCGGGGGTGGAGGTGACCTCGTTCCGCTCGATGGCGAGATCTGATGCTGTCCAGCCCTCGGCTATCAGCCGTCAGTCAGCCAGGTTTCTCCTACCAGCGCGGCACCGCCCCAGCCGAGACAAGCTCTAAGCTCCCGACCGGGCTTGCGGCATGCGTGGTAGCGTAGTGGATGTAAATGTGTATGTAAGGGATGAGGATGTGACAAGGAATAGGAAGGAATGATCGCGCGCGGTCCTTGGCCCGTTCCGTGGGGTACTGCTCCAGCATTCGCCTGGTGTTGATCATTGAAATCTCGGAGAGCTACTGATACTATAACAAGGAAACTTGTTACAGTGCATGGATCTGGTATACTCCAACGGATCTTTTTTTTCAGTGTATCGATTTCAGCAGCCGGCCGCTAGAAATATCCTCCAGAGAGCGACAGAACTCGATCTAGTCCGTGTCGAAAATCCTGCCATCGTCGGGACCTCCCGTTCAGAGTCACTGCAGTCACATCAGTTGAATCTCTGAGCCACCTCTCCCGGTCTTCCCGTTTAAGACCCGTCCCCACAGCGCGTGCGGGTCACGCGTTCCGCGCTTGTGCTAGAGCTCCCGCCATCCGCGTGCACTGCGGCATCAGGAAGGTGCGCACGCTCCACGTGAACGGGAAACGCCCTCCTCCCCCTCACCCTTCATTCGACTCCACCGGGGCTCGATCGGGGCTTCCCCCGCACGGCAATGCGGCTCCGCCCCCCTCCGCCGTCCGCCCCACCCCCCACCGCTGCCGCGGGCTCCGGCGCTTTCTCCCCGCGGCCTAGCGTCGCCTAGCAACGGCCCCGACGGCGGCGGCGGCGGCGGCGGCAACGGACCACGAGATCGATTGTGAATAAAACATGCGGCGACGGCGACGGCGCTGGACCGGGTTCAAGCAGCCGCCGGCGCCCGCGACGCCCGGACGCCGGTGTTTTTGAAGCTAAATTCATTTTCGAGCGATGGAATATGCTCACTCCTCATAACGTACGTTTATAAGTGTCATTTCGATAATGAATAAGGTTGTGAGAGTATTCGTAGGCTTCCGCGGCCGGAGGCATTGGATACGTGTCTGTCCGGGGGTGAGCCGCGTCTCAGTCGATCGAGCTGACGTTTCGGCCATCGTCTTGTGGCTTTCTTCAGAGCTATGCTGCTGAGAGGTCTGAGGAAGGCCACAAGACGATGGCCGAAACGTCAGCTCGATCGACTGAGACGCGGCGCACACCCGGGACAGCCAAGTGTCCAATCACCATCAAGGAGAATCAAGCCACCATCAAGGCTACTAAATATCTCATTCGATTCGGTCATGTAACTCAGGATCTTTGGAAAGATGATAAATATAGTGTGTTATGAGAGACTTATATAATTTTCATACATTGTATGATGGCGCTATCATTTATTCTATGTTCTTCTGTATTAATGTTGACTCCAGGCTGATGTCCGCGCCCTACTTACAATAAAGGGCTACGGACCGTGCGCGACCCATCTTTCCAAAGCCTCTTCCCACTCACATCCCTAGGGCCCGAGGTGGAGATTCTCCCTGCCCGTATGACCCACTTTGCGGACTTATATTTAACACATATTTCACAGACATGTTTTGAACGTAACTACGTCCTTACGTGGAAAACGTAAATGGTAATGGTAGCAGTTACGCGTTACCATACATCTTTTTGAATTGCCATCATCAACACGGCGCATTCTACGCGGCCTTGATTTATGAATATGGTTCAAACTTGTTTCATTAAAACTTTTTTTGTATGCAGTTGCATTTTACGTACTTGTACATCTAACACATATTTCACAGACCTGTTTTAAAACCCTGCTACTTACTGAAAGACATAAATGTTGTGGTAGTAGTTTCGCGTTACACCTTGTTCAATCACCGCCATCTACCCAGCGCGTTCGCGTCCACACGTGTTCGATTTATGCACATATGCTTAAGCTGTGTGTCCAAAAAGTCCTCGCGCGCGCTCTGGCGCCCGACGCAGCGGCTTGAGGCACGCGAGGGCTCGCCAGGTGCGATGGAGCGTGAGATAAGCGCGTGCAGTCCATTGCTCGACATGCTGCTAGCCACGACCTCGCCGCATTCGACTCCATGCAACGCTCTCGCCTCCCGAGGACGGCGTTCGGCGAAGGTCGGCTTCGACCTCCGAAGGGAACGCAAAGACGGCGGCCCCGAGTGGTAGAATAACCTCATCTCATCACCCATTCGTCGTGACGCTGTCATTCATGTTCCGAGACGTATTGTCGTTCGCGGAAAATCTCCCATTACAGCCGGGTAGAAAATGTGCTTGCATATGCATCCTCGGTACATTGTACTTCGTGATTTCGAGGTCTGGAACTCACTGACAGAGCCCCGTGTTCGAATACGCGGGGCGACAATACAAACGTCAACCTCCAATATTTGGGCAAAAAAATATCGTATTAATGGTAATCAATAATCCAAGACGTGTGGTTCGTGTGAAGCTATTCCTAGTATATTGTGTTTGACATCAATTTCACTCTCTGTAAGTGCAAGTCCTCGGTGGTTAGAGCCAGGTGTGGTAGCTGGAGAAACATGGTTTTGTGGCATACTCCGAGTGTCGTACGGTTGTTTCTTCTCTTTCTTGCAGAAAGCCATGAACAAATGTAATGATTGAAATGTGAAAATTCAATTCTAAACCTTCATTAATTGCCAAAAACAGTTATATAAATGAGAATCAAAATAGACAAAACATCTTCTTGTAATTCTTTCTGTTCTCATCTTGCGAATTAATGATAGACATTAATATGAGAAACATGTTTAAGCACCAAGAAGAAAATTAATGTAATACATATAAAATGTACAATTATATTGCTTTAAACATTTTTATTCAAATTTATTTTCCGGTTGTAGTAGATACACATTTATAGAATTATTTACAATATAATAGAAGCTCTATTTCTCTTATGAGATGTTTCTCAAAATGTTTATTGTTTTACAAAAGTGATGCCAACAATTATATTCACAGCTTTCTTTTATGTCTTGGACACTGTTTATTTACAATCTGTGGGAGATTGTGTGAATTCCACCTCTTGCATAAGAACAACAGACGGATAGCGTCAACAAAACGGTTTTCATTTATTTACTAAAAGCGTCATCGCTCTACGGACAGTAATTGCAGCAATAAATCTGGAAGAGTGAGATAGTAATACATCATACCTATGGAATTATGTACTACGCATTCTTCGTGTTTAGTAAAAAATGTTTTATCAGATTTGTCGTTTATAATTTAAACCATGGTTGTCAGGGGCCGCAGCCCAGTGGCAGAGTGAAATCTTTCTTCCCTACAGAGTAGACCACCTTGCCACAAAATACGCGCACCAGACATACTATTTGGTGATGGATAGACAAATAATTACATTATAGAAAGAGATATGAGGCGTTGTTTTGTCGTGTTTATTTTTCCATAAAGCTTTTTCGGTCGCATTGCGGCCATCGTCAGTGCGATTCTGGGGCGGCTCTGGGCCCCCGTACAAACACCACTCCGTTGCCAACCAAACAAATACATGTTTGTTGGCATATTTATTAACTTTTTAACTTAGAATTTTTGCTTTCTCGTCCATACTGTACTTAATAAAGAGAAAGAACTGTAATGTTGCGGCGCAAAGTGGCGACTTTTTTACCGGAAAACTCGTGTTGTGGAGCTGTGGTATCGATATTTCTTCACTTAACTTTGCATGAAATACAGGCAATCAAAATACTTTTCTTCTCAAAACGGCTCCTTTTTTATTTTTATTTATTTACTAATTTATTGTTGAATAGAGAAAATACGCATATAAAGATGGTGCGGGCTTTATTTTCGTTGAACTCTCTCAATTTTGGCAAAGTTCAAAAGTTACGAATTATGCGATAAATTATATTGACATTTTACTTTTGTTGTATACATCCTCTTTTCTTGAACTGAAATAATTTATATCATTTGACGAAAATCGTACTGCACATTTTGATAGAAAACATAGCTTCCGGTAGTGGCTGCGCTGTAAAACTGACTAGACACGGTGGCGCGATTCGTGCTAACTGCCACCAGTGGACGATCTTGAAATCATTAGTATGGACAATTATCATGATGTTGTGTTGTTGTATGCGATGGTTAATGTAAATATTATTTTCTTTGCTTGTTTTGTCCTGTTTTGATATTATGTTTCATAACTCTATTCATGAAAAGTTATTTCTTCTCCCGTTTTCGTATTGAGTGTGCATTGCTGAGCCAGGCGAATGCTGAAGTTGATCTGTTATTACACCTGAGCCTCTCCAACGCCATAACGACAAGCTCCGACTGCGACTTTGATGACTCAGTCAAGGCCCTGTCTGCATCCAATGTCGCCCGCGTCACGAACCATTCTTTTCTCTCGCCTCTTCTATCCATCGTCAGATGCAGCGACTCTCTGACCCCTGTCATCGCTTGGCACCAGTGCATCATTATCATCGCTTGCCGGCTCGTCCTGCCAGTCTTAC